AAGATTGTTGGCAAATACCAGAAACCAGAATATGTAAGGAAGGATTCTCCTCTACAGGTTTCAGAGGGAGCAGGGCCCTGCTGATGCCTTGATTTCATACTTCAAGCTTCCAGAACAGTGAGACACTCAACTTCTGTGGTCTGAAGCCATCCAGTTTGTGATCATTTGCTGTGGCAGCCTGAGGAAACTAATACAGTGGGCTTCAATTTTTATCCTAAGCCCCCATGGTGAAGGCCCATATCTAATATCATTTAAAGCTTGAGTCATTTGTGATAAGATTTAGTGAATACAATAGAAAAAAAGTTTATTGAGCCCTATGGAAAATACTTCGTTTCGATTAGGATGGCTATTTTAAAAATTTATATTAAAGATAGAATTTTAACTTTTACTTTTTGGATAATTATCAAGAATACATCAACTGCACAATCTCTGGTTGGTGGAGGCAGTTTTCTTTCCTCTCGCATTGAAAACATTCCTTTTGTTCAGTTCACATAATCATAAGTCATGGTTCTATCTTAGAGATTTCAAATTTGGTGTCCCCCTTTCTGTTCACTATGTTCTTGCCTATTTTTTATTTTACTCTTGTACAGCCACTGCACTTCCTCTTGGTTCTTCCTGAGACTGTATTCTTGATACTCTCCTGTTGTTCTGAGGCCATTGGTTTACTTTTGTCCACCACATTCTTTAATTTAGCTCGTACTCCACAGTCTGCCCTTTAATCATGGTGTTAATCATTGCCTTGGTCCCCCCTGAAGTTCCCACTGTGTTCATTTTATAGCCATCTGCTATCTTTGGGGAGTTTCAGAGCACAGGAAAAGTTGAATCATGTATGTGTGGCCTACTCTTTACTCAAGCTGTCCAACTTACCTGAGCCTTCGTTTAGTATTCCTTTATTTTCTACTTGCTGAGTTGCTAGGAAACACTCCACTATTTTCTCTTTCTTATAGTCACTCCAAACAGATTTTTGCTCTCTCCTTACCAAGACCTAAGCCATCTGGCAACTTCACTTGTATTATGATCTCATCCTTCCATGTTCATTTAATTCTCTCCAGAATCTTCAATTCCTTGTTCATCACCTACTTGCCCTCATAAGTTCCTATGTATTTGAATGTAAGTTACAGAACCACCCAACCAACAGAGGTTTAAACTAGTGCTTCTCAAACTGTAAAGCACATTTGAATCATATGGGGATCATATTTTAATACATATTCTCAGTCAGTCTGTTTGGGGTGGGGCCTGAGATATTCTGTATTCCTAACAAGCTCCCAGGTGATGCTATATTCCTGGTCCCCAGACCACATGGATTTACACCTTAAGCGCATATGGGGTCATCTTTATGGGGTAAGTTCAGTATTTGCCTGATGGCTTTGAGTCTCCTTCTTCCATGCCTCCTGGTCTGAAGATCCTGCTGTAGCTCTAGACAGCACATCCCCACCCGAGTGAGTCCAAGGCAGCAGGCAGGGGTCTGATCAGAGAGCCGAGAATGAGAGCCATTCTCAAGCCTTTCTCCTCTCATCAGAGAGGTAAATATTTCTCCAAGCCTCTCACTTCCCCCTTGTAATTCACTGGCTTAGAACTGGGCCACACCTGACCAATCACTGTCACAAGAGAATGCAATAGATGAATTATGATTTATCTCAAGAGGCTGGACATACTGTAAACAAGCTAAGTTCTGTCATCAGAAAGAGGGAGGATGGCCCAATAGCAGAGGCAGTTTCAGCCATACCTGATTTTCAAGCACTGTCTTGAGCAAAAAAAAAAAAAAAAATTGATACTGCTTCACGTAACCAGTTTTTGAGCTGCTTTTCATGGCAGTTTTCTCTATGAATATTCCAGTTCTATCCATGTATATCCTATCTATTCATGTCACTGAAACCTGGCTTCTGCCCCCCACTGTCATAATGCAACTGCTCTTTTGAAGGTTGCCAGTCACTCCTTCTCCGCTAACTTCTGACTTTAGGACCGCTAACGCCAGTTTTTGATCCTACGTTTTTTTCTTATCTTAAGCCCTCTTCCCTTGGGATGGGTGCACCACCATCAGATTTCCTTTTCCCTTCCATGCTGCTTCCTTCTCCTCTGGCACCCTGGCTCGGGGCTTGGCCTCACATGGACTTCAGCTCTCTGATCATCCATCCTAATTCTCATCTGTTACATCTTAGGACATCTGTTCTCATGGCTTTAAGTACCACATCTGTGGCTCCCAATTCTTTTCTGAATTCCACCCTCAGAACTCTGCTTGCCCATCAGATACTTCTAACTTCATGTCACACCAAACCTCCTCTCTCCCAAACTAGTTTCTTCTCCCACTTCCCTTAAGTTAGTAGGTAGCATTAAATTCTTCTTGGGATAAATTAGCATAATGTTTTGTTCTGTTATTTTACAGGATTTTAAATGGGAATTATGACCGATGCACTAAGAAATGACAGATACCAGCTACCAAAAGGAGCTGTGTTGAAGACTGCACTGTGGAAATTTGAGAGTAAATGGTTGAGGACTGGTTAGATAGTGATTCATGCAGTGGACCCAGAGTTAAGCTGCTGTCAGGGAGGGCTGTGTGAGGAAGATTTGCTTGGATAGAGCAGTACTGGGAGTTCTGCCCTCACCCTGCAAAGGTCATGGGCACTGGCACCCAAGCCAAGCCAAGGGAGAAGAGCTCCCCAGGGCCTCTCTCAGAACTTGGTATTTGCTCTTGGTTGACAGTGGATGGGTGCTAGTGTTCCACTGGAGCAATGCAGCAGAGTAGAGGGCTGTACCTGTGACATAAGGGTTCTACCTACCCACATGGTATAACCATATAATGGAGTGAGTTTTTGAAAGGAATCTCAGAGACCTTACGTGGAGTCCACAGTAGAGAGGTCAGCATGGCGTCATATTAAAAGGAGTTCTGCCTATAACCTCACTGGGGGTTTGGTAGGACCCCAGTAGCAAAAGTCTGTGTGGAGTGTAGCTCAGGACAACCAACAGTAGGTAAAATAAGCAATTAGAGAGCATACATTGCCTGTTGCAGGAAGTATGGTCAAACGTTCCCAGCAAAGTGCTCAGGAGATTCAGCTTCAAATATCTACCAGGCCTCTGGGTGATGCCCTTTTGTCAGAGTACCAGCGCAATACAAACTTTTCCACCCATCATCCACACCTCCCTCCCCATATTATTGTTAGCAAGCTGGCGGGGGAGGTGAGATGGAAAAGGACCAAAGCCCTTTGCCTTCACTTCTGCCCACAGAAAGCTTCTGCTGGGAAAGGGAGCAAGATTTGAATTACTGAACTGAGAGCATGTCTTATCTCTCAAAGTAACAATAGGATTTCTATTACCTGAGAGAGAGAATAAAATAGTCATGGGACTGCTTGAGTTGTCATTCAGCAGAAGAGGGAAAACTCTCCTCAGGGAACGGATTCTTAATGGGACAGTAGGCAACAAAAATTAAGTTGCTTTTATGCATACTTTCCATGAAGCCTGTTTATTTAATGTTCTGGTTAATCACAGAGTTTAAATTCAGCTTCTGGAGCAGTGAAATAGTTTCATCAAAAAATTCTGTTCATATACCCCTGGGATCACAAATTTACAAAAATGTCCTTGCTCCCCTTATGTTAGTTTATGTGGTTAAACCATGTTTCTTTTCAGACTAAGAAGACTCAAGTGATGAGAAGGATGAATGCATGAAGAACAACGTTTAACTCAAGACCGTTAAGGCAATTAGTAAGTAAATGCCATACACGATAAAGGATATGTATCTGCAATATAAAGACCTATTACCTCAAAAAGTTAAACATAGTTAACATATGATGTAGTAATTCTACTCCTAGGTGTATACTCAAGAGAAATGGAAGCATAAATCCTCATAAAAACTTGTTCATCAACAGTTCATAGCAGCAGTATTCATAATGGCCAAGAGTGGAAACTCAAATGTTCATCAATGGATGAGTGGATAAACAAAAAGTGTGGTACACCCACGGAATGAAGTATTATTCAGCCATAAAAAGGAGTTAAATAAGCAATAAGATTAAATAAGAATTGATACATATTACAAAATGGATGAACCTTGGGAACTTTATGCTAAGTAAAAACAGACACAGAAGGGCAGATGCTGTGTGATTACCTTTATATGGAATGTCCAGAAGAGGCAGATACATAGGACCAAAAACTTGAGTACTAATGGGAACTATTTTTGGTGGGGTAGTGGGGAGAGGAGGGAGTGATTAAATGTTCTAAAAGTTGATTGTGGTGATGTTTGCATAATCTGTGAATATACCAAACCACCAAACTGTGCACTTTTAAGTGGATGAATTGTATGTGAATTCAAAACGTTATTTGTGGTCCACCAGAATGGGAACTTCATGACAGGGATGGCGCCAACTTTGCACATTACCGCCTCTCTGGCCAGTGCCTCTCACACAGGCACTCAAAAAATCTTTCTTGAGGAAACAGCACGCTTTGACACTGTACCTGAGGTTTACACAGTGCTTCATGAATTTCAAAGCATGTTTTCTCACGGACAGCAGCTGTTCCTTTGGGCCTCCTAACACCCTAATGGAGGTCAGAGTAGGTGGTTAGGAGACTGGTTGGCACCCATATTGTGAAAACTACTCTGCTGTATACAACAGAGGAAAGACCAAAAAACATTTCTGTCTCCTAATTTTTATCTGAAGATGCTCTCTCAGGCCTGTTTGTCCTGGCATTTCTCACATATCCTAGAAAAGGGATTCTACCTTGTAGTACGATCACCACAGCTCTGGGAGACTGATTCTCAAACGGCAACCCAACAGCACAGCAATTCGGTTCACTTGGGGGGCAGAAACCAAAGAATCCAGATTCCTTTTCTGAGCAAACAACGATGAGGCCAGTGGGATTTTAGTTTAGAGATATTGGACTCAATCTCCTCAAATACTTCTAACCAGAAGGTTTGAGTTAGCGCGGTGTCCCATGACCAAGATCTCAATAGCATTTAGCTAAACTGTCTTCCAGGCGTCGAATTCAGGGTTCTAGGTCCTGGTCTCCCCCCCAACCCCAACACAGTTTACATGCCTGGGATAAGAAACCCAGAATCGGTACAGTTCAGCCAGGGTCCATTTAATTGGAGGGGAGGAGCCACCTTGCTAAGAAAAACTCACTTGAAGCTCTTCTGAAAAGAGGTCCTCAGAGGTTTTTTCCGAAAGGGACGCGGACTCCTAGTAAGCTACAGAACCCCTGGCCACTGGGTGATTTAATAATGTTCTCTTTTAGGTCCACCGACGCGGCCACAGTGTGGCCGCCATCCAGAGGGGCACTGGGAGAGCCCAAGAGGCCCCCCAGTGACCGTGGGACTCTCCCGATGGGGCGGGGCGCTCCTGACTCGCGCTCGCCGGGGACTGGAGCGCAGGTGAGTAGCCGGAGCGGGGCGAGCCCCGGCCTCCGCCTCCGTGGCGCCCGCGCTGCGCTCCGCCCTCCCCGCGCCGGGGGCAGGGGGGTGCGGGCGAGAGCTCTGCTGGAGCTCTGGCTTCGGTGGGAAGTGGGACGGCGACGTGGGGGCTCGCGGACCGTGCGGCCGTGCCGCGGACCGGAGCGCGGAGGCGCGGGGCGGCCACCTCCCAGCCGGCCTGGGGCGCGGCGGCCGCAGGTGGTTCCCCGGGCCGGCCCTTTTCTCCTCCCCCTTTCCTTTCTTTCGCCTCCCCTCCCTCTCGCCCGGTGTCGGCGGCACTTCCCCCGCTTCCTCCTCTCTCTCCAATCGGGAGGGAGGGAAGGAGCCGCCGGCTCTTTCCTGCCTCCCTGCAAACTTCAGCGGGACTCGCGTCTCCGCTCGCCTCCGCGGCCACCGCGCCCCCTGCCCGGGAGCTGCTCCTTGAACTTCCTCTCGCCGCGCGGCCCAGGAGCCCCGGCGGGTGGGAGGACGCCGCTGGGCGCCAGCAGCCGCCGCTTGGACCCTCGCTATCCCTTCCCGGCGGCTCCCCGGGCTGCCGCTGGCTCCTCCGGCGCCCGCCCGCCTGCCCGTGCGTCCGTCGGTCCGTCCTTCCCGCCCGCCTCGCCTCTCCGCAGCGGGCAGGAGCCACCAGGCTTCCCGGCGGCGCCCCGCCGCTGCCCGGGACTTTTCTTTGTGTTGGATGCGGACTCGCGCCCCGCGCCGACGGGGGGCGGATTAAGGGCTGCGCTCGCCCCGGGGCGGTCCGAGCCGCCGCCCCCGGCCCTCGCCATGCCCTTCCACCAGAGGACCGTAGAGCCCGCGCGGCTGCGCCGGCCCGAGGCGGCCGGGGCCGCGGGCGCGCCGCTCTTCCGCTCGCTGGAGCAGGTCAGCTCGCACGTCCTGGTCCGCCTGCTGGCGCAGCTGGCCGACCTGTCGCGCTGCGCCGGGGACATCTTCTGTGAGCTCGAGGGCCAGGCGGCCGCGCTGGGACGCCGCACCGCCGCGCTGCACCGCCGCCTCGACGCCCTGCACGCCGCCGCCGCGCGCCTCGACCACCGGCGAGTGAAAATCCGTGAGTGGCCGGCGGGCCGGGGGAGGGGAACCAGGGAGGGAGGTGCCCGGCCAGCTGCTCCCTCCCGCCCCCTGGCGGCCCCGGGCGGCCGCTCCGCGACGTGGAGCCCCAGCACGCGGGAGTGCCGGGCTCTCGGGCGGGACTGCCGGACCCCTGGCGGCGCGGCCGCGCTGGTGGCAGGCGCGTGAGGCGCTGTGCGGCTCTGGGATGCAAGCGGTTCTCGGGCTCCTTGACGGAGCGGGCGCGGAGGGCGGGAATCGGGCGGACCCCGTCCCACTGTCCGCTCCTGTTTGTGCAGGAGGCTGAGAGGAGACCCCGGGGCTCTGTAGATAGAGGAGGAGCCTAGGTCGTGGGAAAAGGGTCAGAGGAAGGCAGCCTGTTGGAGAAGCCAGGGAACTGTGTGGACCAGATACGGCATTATACTGCTTATAGTTCTTAAAGTTTCAGGCGAAGCTGTAGAAATCTCTGGGGATCCCAGTGAGCTTTTGAACTGCTTGTCACCTCTCTGCGCACCGGGTACCTGTGCTCTTACCTTCAAACAAAAGTATGCAGATTTTAGGTCACAGTTTTCATTTTTGGCGCTAATTTTTGCCCCAACTCCACCACCAGCTCTTTGGGAATCAGAGGGCTTTGACCTTGAGCTCAGACTCTGAATCCTATTCACCTTTGACCTCCAACCCTGAACATCAAGCCTGTGTCCTGACACACTGATCTCTCCGAGCACACATTTCATTTCAGCAGCCTAACTGGCTCCAGTGAACGAAGTAACTGGAATTTCCTGCTGCCTCAAAGCGGAGAGACTCTCAGGGTGATACTCGAGTGGTTTCTCCCCTTTTCAGTACATGAGTTGATCAGAATCCTCAGTATAAAGAGTAAATTGGAGATGGTGGGAGAAGTGCTGGTGTAACACACCTACATTTCAACAGCTCTGGATGAAATATTGTCTCTTAGAATCACTTCATATGCAGTTTTGAATAGGTGGTTTCAGCTTTTTTTTTTTTCCTTGCTAGAAAAACCTAGCTATATTTTAACTACCTTCGAAATCTAAGAGTTCAAGTTTTCAGTACTTAAATACCAGTGAGATTGTGTGGTATGATACATCTTCGCCAAGTTGTGGAGTTGTCAAGTGATGGTTTTACATTTTATAGTTCATTTCTTTGTGCTGTAAACACATCCTTAATAAGTTGTAGATAGTTCTCTACCTGGGAGGGATCCTTACCCATTCCCCTCATCAGAGGGAAAAAAAATCAAAATGGTCTCATTCAGTTGTTGGACATAAACAGAATATATACCTACTTAATGTGAATAATGACCTCATGCATCAGGATATATAATGTCCGAGTGGAATGTCACAATTATCTTTGTAATCACTAGCTGCTTCTCTGCCTTTTCTGTGTAGAGTGTGTGTGTGGGTAAATGAGAATTTCACTCTTGAGGAATAATGTGATGAGGCAGATCTGACTGCTAGGTAAACTGATCTATTGTGGGAATTAAAGAGCAAGAAAAAAACCCCTGAAGGTCAAAAACTCCTTCTTTTGCTGGTTTTGTGTTACATTTAAGCCAATCACTTTTCTCTCTGCATGCATAATGCACCAATAAACGAACACCCAAAGCCAACCCCACATCCCCACAATTTCCTAAGTTAACTAAAGTTTTCCTAATTAGTGACTAAAGTAACTTCTTAAAGCATTTCGCAAGTCTGAATCTTAAATGGCTTTGATTTCATACTGGAAAACCTGGCTCATCTTTTTTTCTTTTTTTTTTATGATTGAGAAAGAAGACTTTTATTGAATATAATTATGTTTGACCTGAAGTGCGTGTCACAGAGAAGAAAGCTGAACTATACTTACATCACTATAACTAAGCCATTAGCTTTTTTGGTTTTTCACCTTCACACACTGAACTTTTTTATATGCTAAGAAGCAGTAAAACGCCTGTATTCATTTTATTTACCCTCTGTTGGGATTCTTCTCAAAAAATGCCTTCAACCTTGTTCCTATGAAAGCTCCATTTTGAATTCATTTTGGTACATTTTTTAGTGGGTCCTCAGTATAACATGCTCCATTAGAATGGACATGTAGACTTTCAGATGTGGAGTTGACTGTAAATGCCATCTATTTCATTAACTCTTAACCAGAAAGGAAATCAAGTTTCAAGAAAGTTGAAGTGATTCACTCCAGGTTGCGGTGGGAATGGAGAACAAAATTCAGATACATTCCATAAACAGTTCCAAGGGTAACTACGATCCTTAATTTCATCCTTCTTGTCAGGTAAACCTTTTAATGAGTCTGTCAAGGGCAAGTAACAGAACTGAACAGCTTCCAAAACCTGGAACACAGTGGGAGATTGTGCATGTTTCCTGGCCTGATGGGTCTCTTCCATAATATAGGCTCTGAGAAGAACTATTTGATAAAAATATAGACTTTACCTTTGCAATACAGAAACAGCATTTTAGTCCTGTCGGCTAGCCCTGCTGGCCTAAATGATTCTAAGAAGTGGTTCAGCAAGTTTGCTATTCCTCAAAACTCATAGGTAGTCATCCAAAAAACTTTTTGTCATAAGATGGGGAGGCTGTACCTCACTTTTTTCCATCTACTTATCCTTAAAGACTCCCCTCATGCCCTCCCTGACACCCTCGTAGCATCTAGTATGGGCATCTGGGATGTACATCTATCACTGCATATGCCAGCATGGGCTGAAATTGTATATTTACTTCGGCTTCCCATCTGCTGGTTAGATAGCAAGCTCCTTGATGTCCAGGATGGCCATGTCTTTGTTTTCCTAAAGCTCAGAACAGCATCTAGAGTGGGATAACTCAGTAGATACTTGAAATGAACTAATATTTAATTTCTTAGTGCTCAGAAGTATAGCTGCAAACACCTTTGGAAAGGGCTGCTGTATGTGACTGCTGTACAACTACGTGAACAAGAGAGTGACTTTAAAAATAAGTGAAATAGTTAACTTTTACCTTTTCACAGTTTTGTGCTCAACCACCAGTATGTCAGACTTCAATAATTTGGCAGACAAAAATAAGTTCTCATCAAAAATAGTGACAGTAGCAGAAATGTGGCTGGTTACATCTCAGCTCTGTAAACAATAAAAACAGACTTTTCTATGCAGAAATCAATAAACATTCAACTTAACAGTCCTGTTTTATTTTTAAGCCCTGTGTGATTTGTTTTTTATAATTCATAACAAAAATATACTTACGTAGTTCTTTATGATTGAAAAAATGTTTTTCATATTCATTAGATTAAGAAACGTTGTGAGGTAGGAAGGCCAGATTGTATTATACCTATTTTACAGACAAACGGCAGTTCTAGAAATAGTAAGAAGTATATATACATAAGACAATTTGAGTCTTCTGATTTCTAGTCCAAAACTCTTTCCATTTCACTTTAAAATTTCTTCGTGGGTGAATATGAAATGTGATTGTTGAAACAGAATTAAAAAGAGATAATTTGCAGGCTTTTTTTCTTATAGTTCCAGAGAAACAGAAGATTTTTACCCTTAGATTCTAGAATTGTCCCCAGTTCAAGGAGACTTGTTGTGCTGTGCAACCATGGAGGCACTGTTCATACTTTAATTTATGTGAATGATACTTCCAGGGAATTGGTGTGGTTCTTGACCTGCGCACCTGTACATGATGGCCTTAGGCAAATGTACACAATTTTTATAAGTGAGATGAATGGTGTTCAAGATAGCTGTTGTCAGAAAGATTGTATGGACACTCTCTTTGCATAAAAAAGTATGACTTTGGTAGTGTCTGTATTAGGCAAACACTGTAGCCTTACCCTTTTTGTGGAGTGCCCTAGGTGTCAAGCTGCAATGTCCTACCTCACAATGGACTGTCCCTTTACCCAATCACAGGGTTGGCTGGGCCAGATGTCAGAATATCCTGGTTGGTCCAGATGTCAGAGTATTGAGTTGCTTCCTCCACAGAATGAACCTTTTATGCACACTGCTTGTCAGAGCTGTAAAGACAGAGAAGAGAGACTTTACTGCACTTCTAAGAACAGGTCATGTAATTGCTTTTGTGCCTGTCTGCTCATAAATGTTTGTATTTCTTGCAAAATTAGCATAATACTTGCTTTCATTGAAAATATACCACATACTAGGGAATATGTTGGGGTGGGAATGTGGTTTCTGTCCACCTCTAATCCTTAGAGGGTCCCTAAACATATTGACAGTTGCCAAGCAGCCAGATTGCACTGCAGATTAATGAGGCTGTGTAAGATGAAATAGCGTTTCTCATACTTGCCTGACCTTAAGAATTGCCAGGAATCCTTGTTAAAGTTAAGGATTCCCAGACTCTTCCAAAGCCCTCTGAGCCAGAATCTCCAGTGTGTTTAACAAGTGCAGCTGAGTTTTTGGAGCCTTTTGAGAATCACTGAAATAGACAAGAAAGCTCAATGGATTGAGAATTGGGAGATTTGAGTCTGCTTTCATCAGGCCTTAGTTTCTTTATTGTAAAGTAGAGACTGTAACTAAAATAACCTCTGCTGGCCTTTTGAATTTTGGCATTTTGTGATTTCAGTAAGGGTTATGATTTGATGATAATAGTGGTGCAGGTGACTTAGAAATATGACTTTGACCAGGATCCACTCTTTGATTTATATGATTAGGGATTTAAAAAATCTATGTCTGAAACAAAGTCTTCATGACTGTATGGACTCTTTCAACTAAGATTGGAGCTTTATGTCTTAAGGGTTAGTCATTTTCCAAACAGAACAGGCAGGCACTTGTTTAAAATCTGTGTATATCCTGCATGCAGTCCATTCGTAGCTTCCTCCTCATATTTAAAAAGTGCTAATATCATTGTGGACAGAAAATTGTTGTTTAAATGCATTTGCCATATGTCAGATTTCTTAGAGAGTTGTTGTTATTTACTTTTTAAATTACAAGGGAGTATCGTTTAAGCCAAAACACTAATCTACTTATTGACTCTTGGGTATTGAAAATACATTGCTTGACTTAAAAAGCTATGTACATGTGAGTAA